CGTCAAAATCGCTTGTCACAGGGATAGAGAATTTAAAACATACTTGCAGATGTATTCATTTCATTAAGGACATCTCGCGTCTCTCTGCCAATTGCATTAAATTCACAAGACCGTTTTATAAAGATTTTTCCTCCTGCAGGACATGAAAAATCGTTCCATTTTCGCGTAGGAGAGGTTCCGTTTTATGCTGTGTAAAATGACATTTAACTTCGAGGGCCGGAGAAATGTTCCGGTTAAGACAGGCTTCCCACTTGTACAGGTTCTAGTGTAAACATATTTTACTGAATGTTACACGTTTGTCACGGTGTTACTGTGATATCACAAGCACAATAATGAACCAACATTGTCAGAACTGCTCTCTCTTTTTGCTATGCAAACTAAATCCTTCTCAACCTGCAAGTGGCTTGGTTAAATAAAACATTAGTTGGTTTCGGAAACATCCATTTCTTAGACCGTGCGTAAAAACATTGTACACACCTCAGTACACATTTCAGGTAGCCACTCATTGTCTTAAACCTCTTCAGTTTTTTTTATAAAGGTTCACTGGTGGATTTGTAGTTTCCCAATATTTAACCCACAGATGCAAAACGGGCCACTTGGGGTCAACCTTAGCGCAGTGTGTTTCTGGTTGTGTCTTCTACAATTGTTTTCTCTGAGATCTGAGCTCTCGTAACATCTTCAATTACAGTTATTTATTATAAACAATTTTTTTAAATTCCACTATTTTTAATGCTGATTTCAACTATTTTGAAGAACAAGGCACAGTTACAATTGTGGGGGCACTCTGATCCCATCCCTCTATATATTCCATTACCGAGATGTAATTATTTTTGTAGTTGGTATTCCTTTCTTTTGTCACAGAGAAAGAGTTTTTATGATAATGACAATGCATGGATTCTGGGACAATATAGTAATCCTGCTTCCAAATCAAATACTGCCAAAACATTTTCATCTTTCCTTCCTTCACCCTTTATCGTGTTCTTTATTTCATGAGCTCATTCTTCGTCATATGATCCACATGTTTTCTATTTTTGTAGTTTCTTCTTCTTTCACCTTATGCACGAGAGAAATACTCAGAGAATTTGACACTTGCATATTTCGGCCTAAAGAAACAAATTAATACCATTTTTTTAAAATTTCTGGCTTCTATTTGCACACAATACAGCAAGTTTTGTTGTACTCCAAGAAAAAAGTTGAATTTTTGATAGAAAAACGTCTATTGTCTGGCCCTGATAACAAAAAAAGAATAAATCTTGCCCCTGAATATAGTAAATTACTTCTTCTAACACCTTGTGTAATCAGATTGCATGTTTTATGGGACCTGGTTGCTAAAAAATCAATTGACGGCCAAATGTTTACCCATCTGTCGGTGAATAACACTAGTGTCTAAACCATATGCAGGATTTTCACCAAAATTGATATTCCCAACTGCTTTTTGTGATGTCGTGGACCCTTGAATTTCCAACCAATGTTTTAATTTGGGGGGATTTTTACATAAAGCTGCAACATTTCCATTTTTAATTTTTTTTTGCATTGTCCTTGGATAAACTGCCAAGTTCACAAATTTTTCACCATCTTCCTACAATTACAATATTGAAGACAGAGAGTTCTGTTTTCAAATTAAATTTGTTCTCCATTATTAGTTCTTTTGTTAATGTCATGCACATTTTTTTGTGGTTTTCATGCAATTTTGAGTAAAATATGGACAATATTAAAAATTATAAAAAATAAAAATTTCTCAAAAAAGTTTCAAGTTTTTAGTGAACTTTTGATGGGGATAGTGCTAAAAGCATGTTTATAAGAAGACAAACATCACTTTGCGTCATTAATTAATTTGTTTATAAAAAATATTTCATATATTTCTTCCCGAGTTATATCTCTAACCCCACTAGATGATACTATTACTACTAAACTTATTACTATAAAGTTTTTTATTACGATAGTATTTTATTACGTTTTTTATTACGTATTACTATAAAGATTTTTCAAGTTTTAAACAAAAATAAAGTAGAAGTAGAAAGTTATATATTTTGTCTAGTGTCTAATATGTTTCTGATTCCTTTTTTCAAAACACACTCAATTTTTGCAAATCAGATGTTTTTCAGGATTATATTGGAGAATACTACTATGAGAGAGGTTTTTTCCAGCACTGTTGTATAGTTCATCTGAATATCTCCGAGGAAAATTACCCCCCTCCAGGTTTCATGTACTGGGCTTTGTTACCTTTCATCAGTTAAGCTACCATTACAAGTAAGTATGTAATGTGGTAAAACTAAATATACACACAAAACAGCTTCAAAATAATTTATTCACTTAAGTATTGGTTCAATAATCTTTCTTGTATAATATAAGTTTACAAGTAATTCATTAATAAATTGTTACATTTGCATTGGAACTGCACATTAATAAAACATTTATCACTGCCAGCATGGAGATATGTGAATCACATCAAAATCACCGAAACATGGCAATAAAAACTTTCTGAAAGAAAAGAAATTGATATTTGACCTTTACTAGTTTATGAAATACATAACAATTTCATTATATTTCAGGAAAATGTTGACTTTGTCAGAAATTATGGAACCCCTCAAAAACTTATCAGTTGTCTGCTACAATTAAATAATTGTTAATATTTAAAAAAATTAAGCATTTGTCCCAAGCAATTTTTTTTTTAAACTTAAAAAATAACTAATAGGACATTTAAAAAAATAACAGATCCTTTACCCTTCATTCCAATTCCTCAGGTGGGATCTTATGACCACAATACATGTAAATGTCCATACATATTAGTACATATCCAAAAATTGTCACATGCAATGCACATATACAGGTGTATTTTTTATCTTGAGACAACTCAATATCTTGAAAACTAAGAAGCATGTCAAGATATGCTTCGAATAAAATTTGTCTTAGAGGGGTTTATTGGATGTATTGGATACAACCAATCTTGATATGCCACCTCCACCCCCTGGGGTGGGGGTGGAGCAACTTGCGAATTTCAAATGGGAACCCCTATTTTTTTATAGTGGATTCGGATTCTCCGCAAAAAAATACATAGATTTTGTTTGAAACATTTTTTTTGTGTTACAGTAGACAGCGGTGTAATCATAAAAAACACAATTTTTCGCAATTCTGGTGAAATTGCACCAGAGGGTGTTAAAAACACCAGTATCTAGTATTAATAAGAGTGAGCACCCCACAAACTCTGATAGAGAGCAGGGGAGGGTAACTTTTAAATTTCAATTCGAACAAATTTCGAATTGCTATAACATCGTTAATAACATTCAAAAGTGAATGAACTAGGGTTAAAAAAAGGATTACTCTTCCAAGATCTTCTTGCTAAAACATTCCAAAATAAAAAACAAAAATAAGCTTTTGAAAATTTGTAAAGTTTTTAAACATAAAAAAATTGAACAAACATAGCAAGATGACTTTATGGGAAATCAATTGCATCTAGTGTATTCTGAAAAGTCCAACAACCATTTTTTTGAATTGCGTATCTTCACTCCTTGGTCTGTTTCCATTGCGTGCACTTCGGCTCTCAGTTTCTGATCTGCTTCAATTGGTCAAGTCTGCATCGTTCTTCAGTTTCTGGTCTGCAACGAATGGGAGCACATCATTTTTTTAAGTTTTTAGTCTGCTTACATTTATCACACAGTCCTTGACTTCTTGAAATAGGTTTCTTCAGTTTTTGGTCTACTTTCAATTAGAGAGCATCGTCCCGTTTGAGTCAGGTTCCTTCATTTCTTAGTAATTTTAATTGAATGCTGAACTGGTTACGATGGCGGCCATAACATTGCAAGAGAAAATTTAAATGGTGTTAATTTAAGAAGAAAGCGGCAGGAATCTTGATGATGCTGTTACTCTTTATGCTCAACATTTTCCAGACTGGGTACGATAACACACTTTATTTCACCAGGTTGTTCAACAACTCAGGGTACTGTTCAGCCAAAAAAAAGGTACTGCTGAGGAACAGTTGCTGGGGAACAGAAAGAAATTGTGGTACTAGCTGGAGTTGCCCATAATGCCAACATCAGTACTCGACAAATAAGTCATGGTGCGGGAATTGGTCAGACTACTGTTTGGAAAATATTAAATACCAATAAATATCATCCATTTCATGTTTCCTTGCATCAAGAACTTCATGGCGATGATTTTCAGAATCGAATAATGTTCTGTCAATGGGCGCTTCTGCAAATACAAAGGGATCCTCAATTCTTTATGAGAGTATTGCGAGAACATGATTGAGCGAATCACCGCTGCATGCCGTAAGATTTCGCCCCCAAAACTTCTTAGTTGTGTTCAATCTTTCGAAGTGCGGATAAATAAATGCATTGAATTGGGTGGCCAAATTTTGGGGCACTTGTTGAAATGATTATTTAAATCAAGCACCCCGACAGTGAGAGCCAAGGGGATTCACCTAAAACAAGCACCCTGTTGGAGAGGGACTCACCTAAAACAAGCACCCCGTTGGTGATTACAAGCACCCCTGATGTTATAGCAATTTGAAATTTTAAATTTACCCCCCTCCCCTGCTCTCTTCAGAGGTTGGGGGATGCTCACTCTATCAATACTAGATACGATTCTTAAATACACCATCATGTTTTTTCACCCCCTGGTTCAATTTCACCAGAATTGCGAAAAATTGTGTTTTCGATGATTACAGAGCCATCTACTGTAACACAAAAAAAATGTTTCAAAGAAAATCTATGTATTTTTTTGCGGAGAATCCAAATCCGCTATTAAAAAGGGGGTTCCCATTTCAAATTCGCAAGTTGCCCCACCCCCACTGGGTGGAGGTGGCATATCGAGATTGGTATCATCCAATAGGCCCCTCTAAGATAAACAAATTTTATTCGAAACATTTCTTGATACACTTCTTAGTTTTCAAGATATTTAGTTGTCTCATGATTAAAAATAAATCACCCTATATAAGACTTAAGTGTATATAACCTACACTTTCCAAAGTGCAAACAGTTATGCTTTTAAAAGATACCTACCTCAAAGGAGAAATATATTTTCAAGTTGAACTGAATCAGCAGATACATTGCCACCACTTGTCAATATTGCCTTTGCCAATTCTATACTTGATAGCTTTTTGTTTATTACCATATACTCTTTCATTGAAACATCATACTTTGTTATTTTTAAAGCAAGACCTGAAGCTATTCTGTAATCACATACACACAAAAAAAAATTAATAAATAAAATTCTTCTACCCCTACACCAGGACCAAACAGCTGCCGACAGCAGTCAGATCGGAAGGTGAAATCACTTGTGCGAGTGAAGACTTAAAGGTTGCAAAGGGTAGAGGCAAGGGGTCAGATGTCTGTTTCCCGTAAGACATTAGAAAAATGTGTGTGAAAATCATGGAAGAAAAAGCTCTGGCACTATAGACCAGTGATATTTAAAAGTGAATGGAAAGTTTTAGCTTGACCATTAAATTTATAATTGTGATCAACAATGAAAAACTTCTCACTTAATCACATAGCAACGCATGAGAAGTATGATTGACGTGCAATGGTTGACGCATAGGTTGAAAACAAGCTCTTCTAGTCATGTTAGTTTCTGCTTAGGAAAGTTATTCTTATATTTACCTTAAAATTTATATGCTTCAGGATATGATTAGTGAATTGTGAAATGCCCTAATCCTGTGGTGTTTTGCAAAGATTCTCTTAAAGGATGAAAATAATACTGCAAGAGAAGCATCAGTGAGAAATACTACCAGAATTGCACATCAAATTCCCATGGAGCTGTGAACTATTAGAACTTTTCAAGTATAACTCTTAGATAAATACATATTTACAGTTAACATTCAATTCCATGTTCCAGTTGAAATTTCAGTTCATTTTCAACTTTTCCAGTCAAAACATTTTTGTTGAACTTATCCATTTCTGGTATTTAAATGGTTTTGTTTAATTATTGTTATCTAATGTCAAACAGACGAGAACAACCATCCAAAAGTAATCGGAATATATGTTTTTCTATCTGAGCTCATAGACTTACACAGGTGTTGTGAATTTTTTGAAACACAACCAATGTGGGACCCATAGCACCAAAATGCATTGACTGATCAATTTCTCACACAAGTGAATTTGTCCTTTAAATTTCTTTTAGCATCTGCTGACAGCCTGGAGTAACTGGCCTTGACTTCAGGGTAAAAATTAATGAGCCTTGATCTAGAGCTTTCACTAACTGCGACTTATTGCACACACCACTTACTTCTGAATCCATGACTTTTCATGTGCAGAAAACTCCGGTGAAAAAATCAAATCATAAGGGCAACTATCAGCTTGATATTTTCTCAAAAATTTTCTTACTTTGTCTTTGAATGTAACAAGTGAAAGAGCTTTAACACCATTTTCCATACCTAATGAAGGCCAATCAACTTCCTTTGAAACACTGAAAAATATACAATGTTAATTTACAAACTAATGAAGATTAAGATAAAAATATTCAATTCTATTCAATAAAACAAATGCATAACAATATGGAATATTATTTAATATAATAAAACTAATTAATGGGAATTAATATAAGAACAAATTCCAGAAGGCGGCCAAATATAAATTAAGTAATGCAAATTTGGAGTATTTTGAATAATTGTAACATTCCATATTCTGCTGTAACAAGCACCTGAATCTCACTAAATATACTTAACGCTTGTAACAAGACACCATCCCATTTACAATTAGTAAAAATAAATTATAAAGCCGTAACTAGTTGTATTAATTTTATGTATAATATATTAAAATGTGTGATAATTAAAGACAGGATTTGATGGCAATGCAGATTGCATCTAACAATAAGATAGTGGCCAATTTGTCAATGAAGGTCGCATTGGCGGGAAAGTTTTTGACAACAAAGCAAGCACAAGCCATCATGCATGATGAACAGGGCCCCGAGTCTAATGCACCAATTTAATTGGATTCTTGATTATAATACAGACCAGTTTAAAACATTAACTTTGTAATCTAACAGATTCAGTGAATACTCCCTTGATAAAAAACCGTTACCACTGATACTACATAACTTATTGCAACAATTTTTACATCATGACTTTTTTATTTTTTAAATATTTTAATATTTTTAAGTACAAGACTGAATAAAAGGAATTATTCCAGCAAATGTTGATATGACCCTCACTTACCCCTACGAACCAGGGAAACCCAATGTAACATTGCATCAATCCCCACCTAAGCATTACATAATTTATGTATGACCACTAGGAAATTTCAGTACTTATTTTGGATCATCATCAAATGTTCACCTTCCAAAAATATCACAAATTATGAACCCAGAAAAGTTCTTACCACACAATGTGCTTTTCTGAATCCTTGCCATATCCTACAGATCTTTTATTTGGTTTCTTCAAACATTTAATTATACTTATAGAACCATCTACCATTTTAATTTGGGTCTGGAAGAAAAGGACATTTTTTTTCAATGCACATTTATAATTGTAATAGCGAGTATAGAAGAAAAAGTGTGCTGACTCCACCACATTTCCATAGTTGGTTGGTGGTCAGCTGGACTGAATGCATGACATTTTAAGCTTATTGCTAGGGACTTGTTTATTATATGTCTAATTTGGCGAGGTTGGTTTTCTTCATCATCAGATTTTGCTTGAAATTTAACTGAATACAGAATCTGAAAGTGTGAAGAGAGGTCTAGACAAATTTATAGTAAATTGAAGTTTTAATTTGTGTTAAGACATTCTAATGTACTATTTACATACTTTGTACTATTAATGTTTTATTTATAAGATGTGTATAAAAACTAAATAAAATCGGAATTGTAAGTAATAACTAATAGTTGAACAGGTATAAATGTAATACGAGTAATAATTAAAAATCTGACAAATTTCTATAAAATTCTTGAATAAAACTGATAAAACCACAATTTTTGTGAAATATTATCAGATTTTTTTTTTGTAAGAATTATAAAGTAGCAAATACAATTCTATTGTTCTGATGAGGGTAGGCAGATGCCCATGTGTTACGCACTATAAAAGAGAGTAATATTTGGCATGGTATTGATATAACAAACATGAGCTAATATATTCAATCACATTTTACAGTTTTTACGAGCAATTGTGAACTCTTAGGTAATTAAAATTGTATAAAACACAACTTTGTGACATTAGAAAAAGATTTAACATTCAGATTTTGTGTCTTTATGTCAGAAAACAAAGCCCCACAGCACATAACCAATGCACCCACAGTTAAATTTGCCTGTTTAGTAGAGGGTTTCATTTTTTCTAATTTTAACCTCTGCATTTACTTGTAATTTACTGCTTCAATTTCTCCCGGAATAACATTTATGTAGAGAAACACTAGCTCAATAATATAGGTAGACAGAAAATACACATCCTCATGCCCTTTTACTATAAGGTTACGTGATAAATTATAGTAAGTCAATCAACTCAAATATCCATCGCTAAACAAACACTGCACTTCATCACTCCCATAAATAACACTGAAGCTAGCACACTTTCCCTTCTATACGCTGTGAATATATTAAGTTTCTATTTTTCTGTTATTTTTTCTTCCTACATTGGATTCTTACCAGCTTATAAATCAGTTTAAATTTACATACATACCCCATAAAATGAACAGATTGTTGTGTTTATTTTTATTCAAACTTCAAAGCTTAGGAAGTGATATCGAACTAACAACAACAACAATAATAAAGTGCCAAAGGAGTTTTCTAGCTTTGGTGCTACACCAACATTTCAATTCCAATGCTTCAACCCACAGGGCCTGACACATGCCTAGAAGACGTCATCAATAGACGATGGCAACATTGAATTCGAGCACTTTAGAATCTTTAAATACAATGTACATAAAGAGCCCTATGTAATTAGCATATTCCTCATCCTTCTCAGCACTACTGCAACATCCTTTCAACCAATACATTTAGCACCTATCTGGCATACCTACGTCAGGCCCTACACAACCGACCATGAAAGGCTCAAAATCCTTTCTTTTCCAGCCTTGTGACCATGCGCTGGGCTGTTCGCCATTTCCTTGTGACCCACTCATCACGATATAGAAACTCTGCAGAACTGTCAATGTAAGGATGGAACAGAACTGTAGTGTTATAAGGAAAAAGAACAACTCTTACCTTTACTGTACAACAAACATCTTTCAGTTTCAATAAGCTTCTGCTAACTGTCACTTCTCGAGCTCGTTTTTTGCTGACTTCAGTGCTTGATGCAACCAAAATATTGTTAATTAACAGCCTACAAACCCTAAAAATGATTATTCCTTTTAGTATAAGATTTTGGATACAAAAAACACATTAGGTAACAAAAGTAAAAATAACTTACATGCCACCTTTCCCCGCATTACCATATTCAAATTTGAAAGGGATATGACATCCATTAGCTGATCGTTCAATTAACTGAATAGGAGTAACAACTGTTTCGTCCTCTATTAGTACAAGGCTACCGAATGGTCCTGTGATTCCATCTGTTCTTCTCCATAAATCTCCATCAACAACATTCTGCACTGCAGTATCAACTGGCTTAACAATTACAGGCGAAATATTTTCACGAGGTAAATCAGCAACAGCCAGGGGTGGTTGATCCTCAGGAACCTGAGCAGTGGGTTCTACTGGACTGACAATCGCATCCTCACATTTCACATTATTTTCACAACTGGTTTGAGCCTCATTTTTATTTTCAGGTGGTAAAGCAATAGGTGGCTTTATAAGCTGATACTTTGAATTTGAATACTCTCCAGAGCGCAACATTTCCTCAACAACTTCATTGTAGTCCTTGTGTGATACAACCAGTTGCCTCTCTTCTCCTTCCCCATAACTTTTAGATTTTAGCTTCAATTTTAAACACAATCTAGAATAAAAATGACAGATTACAATTTTCACTAACACAATAATTTGTATGCAATTAGTAGCAGTAATAATAATTCGTAGTAATAGTAATAGTAGCGGTAGTAGTGGCGGTGATCGTCGTGACGTCGTCGGCGTCGTCGTCGTAGCGATCGTCGTGTCGTCGTCGTAGCGGTCGTTCGCGTTGTATATATTTAAAGTATAATATTGCATCTGATGTCACTGTTGACATTGTGTGTTGAATATTTACCAGAAGAAAATAACATACTCACTGATGTGTTATTTTTCTTTCTTCTCTAGTGAATTCAGATGAAAAAGTTAATCCATACGGTTCATTTTTTGTTTTATACTCTGATAACAAATTGGACATTTGTTTTTTGAATTTATCGATCCCGTTAACTTTGTGCAATTTTTTGTCTTGAAGGCCAACACTTGCCTTTTCTACTTGTACTGATGGCCTGTGAATCAACCATCAAATTATTAATGTAGCTTCCTTTTAATTTAATTTGGATATATTAAAATATGCGCAACTTTCCCAAAGGAAAAATTGATACAGTGGAAAAGTACTAACATATTTTAGGGTATTGAATGACCGTAAATGACAATATACGATTTGGATATCATGTTCACAAGAAGGACATTTGATAGCCACATTGGAATTAAAAATAAAACGCCAATGTTCCAACATGAATTTCAGGACTCAGAAATGTTTGAGTCTGGAAGAGATGATAAATGTATGTTGGATACTCATCAAATAAAATAAACATAATACAATGTTCATGACTTGGGATGTGGCGGGGTTTAAAATGTATTTATATTTATTAGACCGCGTCATATGAATAATGTGTAAGAAATGGACAATTGTGACACGTGCACGTTCATTGCACGTGTAGGCATCAAGACTGAATAGGTTAAGGCCAATGATAAAATTAGTTATTGAAAGTTAAGACAGGTGAAAATGGAAGTGACACCTTTCTTCGAGAACCTTGATTTTGTCAAAAGCTATTTATGAGTCATTCCAAAAACCTCCCATGTTTCAACGCTGGCTTATACCTTCAAAAACGAATATAAATGATGACACAGTGGAACTTGATCCTTCTCGTTAATGTTCGTTTAATTTCGTTGCTATATGTCACATAGAAGCACAGTGATGACATGCTAAGTAACATTTAGCTGGAACGCGCGTAAAAAGTAGATATGCGAAATTGAATTTCGCACTTCAGAGGAAGCACTATTCACTTCCACAGACGCTTCCTGAACTTTTTCGGAGAACATGCAGTGATTGTCAGTACAGCGATAATGGACAGTGCGTTTGAGTGATGACAAAACGTGAACGACGAACCAAGTTACGGTCAGCCACGCACAGCTGTCACACAACCCAATGAAGAGCGTTTCCATCAGTTCATCCACACGAATATGCGCATTACTACCGGGAGCAGTGTAAGGTGCTGCAATGCATTGGAGGTAATATTGGGTAAATTTGCGTTACCGAAAACTACGCAATGTGAGTCACATACACAAAAACACAAATATCACGGAACAGAAGTTTGTGAGGAACTTATGTCCAAATACGAAGCTGAAGGTGGCGGTTTTTTGGATCGAATAATCAGTAGTGACGAGACGTGGAGTCACCATTGAGATTCAGAAACGAAATGACAATTCACGGAATGGCGGGCCACCTCGGGTGGTACAGATTTTTTCAAGCGTGGCACGCAGACTCGTGTTCATCGCTGGAGAAATTGCGTAGAAAATAGGACAATAATGAAAAATAGTGTTGGGTTCTAACTTTGTTCTAACAGGGGTATCCAACTTGCCACGCCCCGAGGGTCACAACCAAAACCTACAAAGTTGCGGGTCATATTTTCATTACTCGGCCCGGCTGCTCTGAAAGGTGGGGGTGGGGGGATGTAACCATGCGTGATATTAGACCGTTCCATACACAACCCAGTAAACCACATTGGGATGTTTTGCATTTCTGAATTTACTGGAAAAATCCTTAATTCTAAACATAACCTATTTTTTCATTATGGGGGGTTGCCCACAATTGGGTACGTGCGCTAGGCACACAATGCTATCCCCCACATAGATGCAAAGGGCTTTCAAGTGTGACTAAAAACCTTTCGCAGGCAACAATAAATGGCCTGGCAGGCCGCATGTTCTCAATTTTTCAGTTTACTATTGATAGAACTGAAATATTACTTTAAGAATATTACAAGTCGCATATGAGAATTTTAAATGAAAATTTGGGGCAGATTTTAAGAAAATGATGTTTAACCAATGTGTACAAATGTGAAATTTGAAGTGCATTCTCTCAGAAATATTTTCAGTTAACGGAAGTCACTTGAAGCACTTCTACTCGCAAATGCAATAATGTATACAAATCGTTTGATATGTGCATATTATTGACATGAAAAATTACATTTGTTTAATTTAAAAAAAATACAGGAAAATGGCTTTAATGTTATCTTATACAGTGCACCTAGCATTATCCATACAAAAAATATGAAGAAAAAAATTAGAGTCATTTTTGAGAAAATGGCGATTGAGGTTTTTAAAAATCCAGAATTTGGGGTTCATGTTCACACAAAACTGACACAGCTCATAATAACGCAATAATAACTCATAATAACTGGCGCAGCCATAATAAGTAGAAACAAAAAGGACTTACAGAATTATATAACAAAAGAGGCCGAAGAAGTGAGTCTCACAGTAAATGAAAAGAAAACTAAGTATATGCATGAAAAGAAAACGATCATTAAGTGTTTAAGAATTACAAATAAAGAACTCTCATTTCCATAAGTGGTGAACTTTAACTATTTGGGATCTATCCTGAATGACAAGAATACAATACAAGCTGAAATAAATGGAAGATTAAGAAAAGGTCAGAAAGGATGTCACATAAATCAAAAAGTATTAAAATCAAAACTACTGGCAAGAGATATAAAATTAGGATATATAAAACTCTAATCAGACCAGTTGTTACAAATGCAGCAGAAACATGGTCGCTCAGAGACAAAGATATAAATCATCTCAGAATATTTGAAAGAGATATTGTATAAAATATACGAGTCAATTCAAATAAATGCTGAAATCTGGAGAATAAGAACAAATTAAGAATTAGGAAATCTAATAAAAGGGAAAGATATAATACGACTTCAATAATAATACGAAAGATCTAAGAATCAAATGGTTGGGCCACAGTCAGAGCATGCAGCTGAATATACTATCAAAGAAGATCAGGTTAACAACAGGCACAAAAAAGGAAAAAAGGAATACCAAGCACTTGGAGAATGGACGACATGTACCAAGATCTTTGGATGCTGCAGAAGGTAGTGTGGAGAGTTATAGTGAATGAAAAAAAGAGGAACAATTTAGTTGTTAAAGCCAAGACCCATAAAGGGTTGTAAATCAAATACAATATATTCTTTACATCAACTTCGTAATTGATTTACGTCTTTTTATTCGAGTAATTTTTTTTTTCAAATACTTAAAATACAAATATATTTTCAAATATTACAAATAATATTAACATTAATACTGACTTAAATCAATAATTTAAAAAAACATTTGATTTAAATTGTAACAGCCTCAATCCTATGTATAGTTTAGGCACTGGTGTTGTTTACAGATGGACGTTGTTAAAAAAAAGAACTTGTTCGATATCAGGGGACACAAAAACGTGTATTTCCATTGAAATTTCGAAATTGATTTCTGCAGCATTACGTAACTTTCTCTATGTTATGTACATTACTTTGTATATTCGCATGCATACACGGAAGTAAAAACAGGTTATTTACCAATATGCAGAAAATTATTGCTAGAATTATAACTACTTAAAACTCGTTTCCAAATTATTCTTTATCCAAATTATACTTTTTCTGTGGTACCACAACAGTAAAAATCAAGAATCTCACCAATAACTCTGAAGTTTTGAGGATTAAAAAATATTGGGTATTACAAAGCTTACAAAATGCAATTGTGTGTGAATGAACTACAACATTAATGAACTGTGAAGCACATACACATATTACTAGTTAGAAAAATGTTCTGGGGTTGAAAAGTTTCATTCCTAATAAAATTGAGAACCAGAAACTAGATTCACCAACTCTGTAATAAATTAGAGGAATCAAGGCTTAACAAGTATCACTGCATGTTATCGACTTTCTTCAAAAAGCTAATATCAAAATAATCAAAGCTAGCTTTGAAACTGATCTCACCTTACTGGTTCGTGTATTCCTTGGTGCTCCATTGCAAGGTCTCCCCTAGTCAATCCCACACCTCGCATTAATTTGCTACCAATGTTTTCTTGTAATGGCTTCTCCAAGGAGTTAGCTTGAGTGGGCTCAGACTCGAACTTTTTCAACTCATTCCGATCAATTACATGATCATCTGGATCAATACCATCATTTATCTACAAATGGCACAAATAAAGTGTCAAGGAATTAACCTTATCAATCAAGAATCAATATTATTATGGTAAATTTTAAATTAACTGTTCACTCACAAACCTTCAAAACATAGCATATCTGTTTTAATTTATCATATGCATCCTCAACGGCTAGTTTATGAGCCCCCTTTCTGGTGAAGTCACATGCCGATGTTAAGAGATGATTATTGACAAATACTTTGCAGACCCTTGATAAAACACAAGCATAATTCAAACACAGAAAATTACTACCATTGTACTCAAAAGTGCCCAACAACAAAATCATATATAATTTTTCATATAATAATTCTCAAATCAAATAACTTTGATCTCGCAAGACTGTTTTCTACAAATGTCAGAAGAAAAAGAAACTACCAAAATTACAATTCAAACATGTACATTGAGATACAATATAAAAACTTCCACGTTTTCACTGCCTACATTCTTTAAGAGTGGAATCCTCTATTGAATGTAAAATGGACTAACAGTTTCCTACTAAAGAATAAAATTAACATCACTCTGAAGTAATATCCAGAATTTAACAGGGATTTCAGAAACAAACATTGTATGTTGATGAATATAAGCTCTCCCTCTGGAGCAGCGTGCAACCAGCAATAGCAACTAGCAAAGGTCAACAGCACTATTGCTCGACGCAGAATCCAGTTTCAATGGCGATGCAACCTCATCAATTATTTTACCTCTCCTAATATTTTGTTTGTCATTAGAACAGAAGTTTAACCCTTAATTTGGCAAGCAATGACACATAACAGGAAAACATATTTTGTGGAAAATTATTTACTGATGTGGAGTATGGAAAGGAAAAATAAAAATATAATTCCTGTGCTCTATGACCAAGGTTTATGAATCTCACATGATACGTTGCTGAGTTCCCACAGGAATGAGTTTCTATCTTGACACATACATTGTCTTTAATCTTTCGTTTGATATTGAGAAAGTTATGTTATATCAATTAAATATTTTCTACTTGTACATGAGATACTATGATTTCAGTCTGCTTTACAATTAATTTAATTGACTTCCTCAAATAAATTTTAAGTACACAATACCTACTTAATGCATATGTAAACAATTCATAAAAAGAAACAAGAAACTTCAACAATCATTCAGAGATAATTATACCTACTAGTCAAAATAGACGATCAGTCAGCTACTGCATCCTACACTGTTTTGTTTAAGCTTTTCCAATTAACTTCCACCCTTCCAGTTATGCTGCAGGATATATGCGAGAGACATACACATTCTGAAAGACACAAAGCAACCAAAAGAAACAAATGATTTTGTTTCTATCATGGTAGATGTTGTGTCAAAAAACTATGTATCAAGATACTTTGCCAAGTTAAGGATTAAGAGAACACTTGTCTTACACACTTCACAATGGTAGATTAAAAACAGTTTTGTCTTCACTTTTAACAAGTGAACATGAATTTCATTCACATTCTTCATGTACCTTTCAAGTTTCCCCCACACACTTTAACATCAGACATTGTCAGTATGTCACTCAAATACTTTTACGAGCAAATGTTTCAATATAAGCATACTCAATCGAAAAACAATTGATTTTTTTTATTACTCTCTTATATCAATAATTTTCACAAAATCATCCATGAATATCCAATGTGACAAGAAAAAAAAGTTTGAAAACGGAAATAAGCAATTAAATTACTCCAGCATGTAAATATTTTCAGTATAACTTCTTAGAACACCCTTGCGAATAGAGAGATGAAAAAGACAATGAAATTAGATTCTTGAGATACGACTTTCTCTAGCTTTTTGAGTGATATAAAGTTCAGGTATACATTCAAATATGCAATGTATTTTATTCCTCTTAATGCTTTGCCATTACCATTATTTGTAAACATTTTTTAAGCATATTAGTTATTTATTAATTTTACTTATTCCACCAAAAGTTTGGCCCAGTAGAATAAAATATATAATTTTATCTTTTGCCTACAATTTAGGACACTATGTTGTTAGGAAGATGCAGATAACATTAATCTAGTTGTTTCAAGCAGTCAATTTTCTGCATTCCACAAAGAGTAATTAAGTAAAATTAAAGAAACAACAAGAGGGGGAGCGACGAAAGAGAATATGAAAGTGTAAGTTTAAACTATTTTTAGGAATGTGCTACAAAACATTTTGGGACCAAATACAGTTGACTCCTGTTATAGTGAATTCCTGGGGACTACTATTTTCTGTTCATTATATCCGAAGGTGTCAAAATTAAATAGAATTTCTCCACAACGACTGATTTTGTTAATGTATGTAGATATGCAGAAAATACATTAACAGCACAAACTAAAAACTTCAATATCTTTAATTGTCCTTTAAAAAAATAAAAAAAGGTTCAATTATTTGCTTCATACATTTTCCAGTGCTAATTTCTCTCTGTCCTCCTCCGGAATTCGTGCTCTTGACATACTTGATCCTGCATTATCCACTGACTTGAAGTAAGATTGCAGTATTTGGCACCCTTCAATGTCTCGTGCATTGTTGGAAGACCCACTCTGAAGGACCTTTTATTTGCCTATTAACATATGAGATCCTTTCAGTAGCGGTAAGGTGCAGATAATGAAACTGATCGCTTTTCTTTGCCTATGTAGAATACAACACACTTTGACTCACGGAAAATCATGAAACATCAAGCTTGAAACAGAGTGGCAAAAGGTTATTAGTAACCATTAGGACCCGAATTACAGGTTCGCAACTTCACCTTAGAGGAGACTTCTTCAAGATTACGATCTTTAGCCAATAATTTTTTCAAACTGTCAAGGGTTGGAATTTGTGACTTTAAGGCGATATATTCTTTTCCAGGACGAAATTAATTTCCAGGTCAAGAATTTCATATAATCAATGTTCACTGAAACTGAGGTTCAGGTTCACTATAACTGAATCTTCTTATGCTTATTTGTAGGGGGCAGATTTTGACAACATTGCCAAAAATGATCAAAATGCTTTAAGAGTGCCCTAAAAATAAAGAAAAATGATGTAAAAAATTGTATCAAAGCCACTTCAGATGAACAACTTAAACTGTTGTATAAGTTACTAATGTAATCAAGGCTTCTTCCTTTTGTTCAAGTGAACTCAGCTTGCAAACTGAATTTGAGCAGATCTTTAAGAGAAAATCTCTGCTTTTATTTATTGTGAAATCAGTCGGACTGATAATGGCGGTGAGAAATGTCACAGGAAACTTAGATTACATAGTACTCACAATGGCTAACAATACAATATACGAGCGAAGAAATGAAATAGACTACTCAGGAAGTCTGTAGTGAACATTTGTTGCACCTCGTAAATGTTGTTTGAAGCAAGTGCCATTAAAATTATATAAATATTGGTGGAATCAGCAAAAAATTAAAAAAATGACTTATTAGTTGAAATCTATGAAAAATACAGACATAAAAATGGATCATTAAAAATTGATCGTTTCATTTTGTCCTAACACAAAATTGCAATTTGGAAACGTCACTGTCCTAAAGTGAAAAGAAAAAAGATTCACATTTCATTAAAATCCGACCACTACTTATTTGTAATGTAAGTGAAACGGGACCAGTGACTCAGGTTCACTATAAACAAGGGTTCACTACAACCGGAGTCAACTGTATCGACTTTCATACTAAGTGCTTCAGCTCTGAAATGAGGATTTGATATACGTTACCTAATATGAAGTATGGTACAATATAGACAAATTGAAGTAAAATTATTATAATGATATTTGATGATTTTCAAACTTATATTGGTTATTACAGTTTTCACAACCATACAGGAGAAAGTCAAACCAAGAATAAAAACTTATATTGAATACATTTTCACCAATAAATTTATCTAATAACGAAACTGAGTAATCAATATGTAATGTAAAAATATTGCAAAAAATGGAGTATTTAGATAGTTTTAATATTTTTTCCACATAATAGTATTCTCTACATTATGCTTCACAAAAATCTGTTTGTTCTCATTGACCTACAATTTGCAGTTATTAATTCAAAATTAATTAATTTTCTATTTCTTTCAAACTCCACTTATATAAGTATTTCCAACATTGTATTTTTCATGAATTCCTGGTAATCAGAAACAACTTAACCAACAAAGAACACTGCATCTAATATTCCATGCCAGAAGGATAAGAATATTATCAGAATACACTTATTTTGACCAAAAGACTTGATAACAGAAGTATGCAATAGAAAATCACCCACACACACTTCAGTATTACTTTACAACCATGTAATTTCACATTGCCACTTCTGAATATGGCATGATTCTAGACATATTGATGAATTCCATGAGACAGCAGCCCTAAATCATCAATACTGAAGATTTAGCACAGATCTAATTACCTCAGGCCTCATCAGCTGTTGTCCTGGAGAAACCTCCAGGAGCAGGAGTGACTTTGAAAATTGCACCAAGTGCTCCACTGTCACCAGGCGTCCATACAAGTGGCTTCGTATCCACCTCAAGAAGACCCTGTCACAATATAGCGTATGATCTACAACTACAGTGCACAAGTGCTTTGATACTTTGACACACTCGACTCATCAATAGAACATACATGTTAGTAATGCATTTAATTAAATATTGAAAATTTCACGTACAAAAATTGGTTCACCAATATCTCAAATAGCACTTGAAGTACTTTTAGATGTTAGCTGTATGGGATTTTGCTCTAATGGCTAAAAATATTCAACATGCAACTGCATACCAAAATCAGGTCAACTCCACATGGAAGCACAAAAATTAGCATATGGCAGATATTTCTGAGAATGAAGAATTCTCAAGTTCTAAAAACAAAAAAATTAAGACTGAAAAAGGATGTCCAATATAAATGTAAACTGAAATGCTATGATCTTAGACTTATCCATGGTTTCAGAATATTACGGTTTAATTACAATGAACAGATTTTTGAACAAATAGAAAAAAATGTTCATAACTACAAAATTTCAACTTGAATTATATTGGCAAATTTTGATCTGTAGCACAAGTAAAGCCTTCATACCAACTAGTTTTCAAGAAATTATTTGGCTTATTTTGAATACATTTTTCCAAACTTGTATTTCATATTTTATTTCTTAAGGACCAAAACATGACATACCTCAATTTAATAGGCAATTTGTTCAAGAAATCTACATCTGAAATAAATCTTATTGAAATTTATAAACTTTAAAATGAAGCATTTGATTTGAAGATTTTGAAATTGAAGCACAGCATAATTCAGTGTTTTTTACTAACTCAAACTATGCAATAACACTTAAATTCCAAGAATACAACTGTGAAAGTCAGAAACTTTGTAACTTGAGAATAAATATAAAGAAAAACCATAAATAAATATTTCATCAAAATTTTATCATGGCACTGTATACTTCTCTGATTTGTGTCAAATAATTTTTTAATCGTTTTGTTTCTTCTCTGTGCCATTTTCTATAAAATATACTTTGTTTGCGGCATGTTGAAAAGGAAAGGTTGCTGTATAAAGTAATAAATAAATAAATTAAGTGATTTGATCAATAGACGACAAAATCTTGATCCATTAAAAACTTTTCTGAAATGTTTTTGTCAGAAATTCAGAAGTTCCAGAAAATTACAAATGCGAAAGTTGAAAATAAAAGAACACCAACTTTAGCCATAAAACTACAAAACCTCAGACCATGTGTGTACATCTAAAATGACTGACATGACATTTTGTATGAAAGAACAATTCTACTTTCTTTAAAAAGTTAATTTAATACATGAGCCTGTGCTTTTGTGTTGCTGGATGCCTGTTGCCAGTTGCTGCTTGCTCCAGGGTTTGAGCTGACTAAAATAAGACCATCTACTCTCAAAATAATTTACTACTTCTGAAAATCACAGCAACAGGCTTTGAGAAGATTTCCCAAACCACAATGCATTGAAGTCTTTATCAGTAGAGTATAGTAACAATAATAAATAAAATTAATTTTAAAAAAATACTTGCTTGAATGATACACAACTACAGCAGGTAAATTCTATTCTTGCAGAATTAGTTCACAAAAGTAAAGATTCTTAACACAGGGATTTCTGAACTTATTCTAAATACCTACCCGAAGTACACATCTATGCATAAACACGGTTTCTTGAGAAAAAAGTTATTATTCAATCAAAATTCAAGAAAAGTTGATGTGTGTGTTTATATATTTAGTGATAAGGGAAGGTAAAAATTTTCTTCTCATAGCACCTCCCCATATTGAATTATAAATATATTACAAAATGTACTAAAATATAAATTTTAGTTATTTTTTCTGCAATTAAAATTCCCAACAAACTGTGAAATATTAAAACTGAAGATTATGAAGAAGTCATCTTAGGATTGCAATAATTTCAATAGACAAGGTCAAGGCAATCACAAGTCTTCACATTTTCAAAAGCATTCTGAATTCTAACTGCTACTTGTCATGAATTATCTGCACTCACCCTCCTCTTGACAGTATACATTTTTGAAAAAGAAAACCATTCGTATTAAATAGAATTATTAGAAAGTAAAAATTATTGAATTTGATAGAAAACAAAATCATTGTTTCCAAAAAAAGATCTTATGAAGTCACTTTCTTTTAAGAATGCTTACAACAAACAATTATTTTATTCTTGCCCCAAAAACCGAAGGAAGGAAATACCTCGAGCTAGTGACCATTCAGTTCCAAAATTAAATAGCTATATCCAGGGCCAATACTAATCAACTTACAATGCCAAAATGCTAAGTAGTGGAGTGGCAATTTTAACGAGCTAATTCACTGAACACACTTACGCCCCATTTGCAAACCATCCATATCGATATGTGACTGGAACATAGTTGTTCTTGGCACTCCTGTGTATTATGGCAACTTTGTCCAAATTTTCACCCTTACACTCAACAAGAAAGAAGTTTCCATAAGGCCCTGCAGCAATTGCATCTAGAGCATAAGGCTTTGGTGAAGATCTTTTGGGAACAAACTGCTTCTCTACTACTCTTTCTGATCTTCTCGCCGCTCTTCTAGCAAATTTATCTTTTCTCCTTCCTCTTTTCCTTTTGCTAATACTCTTTACTCCTTTGGTAATATTTTTTACTAGGAAGCCCCCAAGATCTCCGAAAACCACTTCACTTTCAAGTACATTATATCCATCAACATATTTTTGATAAATGGTATCACTGCTTTCTTGGCGACAAAGGTGTGGAAAATCTGAGGCCTGAAGGCATTCGGGTTCATGATGCTGTGTTGAAGGGTTGCGAGGTGGAAGGAGTTCATAATATTCATCTGAATATTCACCACGTCGCAGCATTAACGCTGCAATTATATTAATTGTATCTTTCCTGGAGATTTTTAAGTGTACCTCATCACCATTTCCAATATTCGTACACTCTAAACCCATTACTTTAGCAACCCTGCAAGAGAAAACGAAATGTTTGTAACTTCAGAACAAAGTTACATTGGCATTGAACAGTAATACAGAACTTTGCACTTTATAAAAGCATAATAAAATTTTAATTTCAAGCAATGAAATGAAATAAAATAAAAACTTCTACTCACTGCTGGATAAGACCCTTCTCTGCTATAGAGAATTCATTGCTCTTAAATATCAGGTTTGGAGGAAAATCAAGTTTTAAATACTGTGCTAAATAAAGTTGTACTTTTGCCTTGAAATTTGACTCAACTTTCTTTTTTTGGTCCTGGGCACCAAGTCCAGCCCTATTAACTTTCAGTGAGACGCTGAAAAGGATATAAAAACAAATCTGATGCAGGAGTTTAATTCAACTGTCAACTCAACTGTCAGTAGAACCCAACAAATACGAAGTGTGGTTTTGTGAGCGCTACTAAAATAATTGGCAGCAACTTATTGAAGTTCTTTTATTACATTTCTACCAAAATAAACTCTAAATGAAATGTATTAAGTTAATGCTGTTCATTTTTTTTCTTTAATTACTGTTACAAAATGATATACTGCAATATTATAACAGTACACACTAATAATTTGTTTTTTAAATAGAATTAATAAAAATGAAATTATACTTCATTTCAAAAAAAATTGTGTAAACTTTCTGTTATACAGAAAGGTGAAGTGAACTAGTGAGCTGCATACATCACAGATTTTCTTTTCACCTCGAAAAACTTTCTTAGTGAATGACGTAATAAATATTACAACTATCTATTATTTGCTCCCAAAGCTCCTAACAAAATTTGATTTTCTAGAAATATAGAACACTATGTTGAAAATTTAACAGCTTGGTGCAAGTAACATCTTTTTTCATATTAGAACAGAAATTCTTAATCAAATTCTACAAAAGCTATTTCTTCCGTAATAATTTTCTGAAGCATTACTAGGATAAAATACATCAAACTCCCTACTGCAAAAATTAACATTTTTCTCCACGGCTTATACTCTGGAGACTAATTTAGAGCACATTCCAATGAATAAATTACTTCGAAACTGGGTATGTAAAATTGTTACCTCACGATTCCATTTTTGCATAAATAAAACGTTCATTTAAAAAATGAGAGAATAATGAGATTTAAAAACACAAGAAATGGGGAGATAGAAGTACCTATATAAACTTGCAAAACAAGAGATTACATTTGAATGTTGAACACTAGTGATCTGCAAATAATTTAAATTTGTTACCTAACAGGTTCTTGTATTCCTTGTTCAGCCTTTCCCAACCCACCCCCTGTCCATCCCATGGACCTCATTAATTTACTCCCAATGTTATCTTCAGGGAGAGGAGTAGCTAAAGCAGCTGCCTTAGGCAATGGGATGAGACGACTCTCTCTAGGAGCGGACTGTCCAACAGAGGTAAGTGTCGCCATTTCAATGACAAGATCTTCTGGAATCCTTTCCTTCTTTACCTAAAGGTCAGTAAGAAATACACACACTTGCATTAACCTTAACAGTCACGGGGAAAAACTATTTTCACGAAAAGAAACAAAACTTACTTTCAGTGTATAACAAACATCCTTCAACTTCTCCAAAGCACACCTAACTGCAACTTCTCTTGCAATTTTTTTGCTTGGACCTGACACAGATACCACTACAAGACCATTTACTAAAATTTTACAACACCTACAAAAGGAATACATTCATGTTACACAAAATTAAATCAGGTCTAATAATGCTCAGGTCTAAATGTAAGAAAATATGTGAAATAAAAATTCATTTTAATATTAAAAATTACTCTCTACAAGTATTTTTCAAATACAGAATGTCACCGATCAGGCTAAAAAGGAGTGTCTCAAAGAAAATTCTTCCTCTACAGAAAAGAGAGTTTTATTTCAAATATAAAATACATTTGTAGTATAAGCATCTTCTTTATGAGATACCAGTGCTAAAGTAAATATTAGTTCTCTGTAGTAAGTGATGGATTCCAGAAGGAATTAAATCGCAATAAAACAATGAACTGTAAAAAAAAATATCATTGTTTTGAAATTGAGACACAAATGGGCCCCATGAAACATGAGAAAGCACACGGTTGAAATAACTTCTGCTGCACAAAGATCCGCTCATTCTTGCCTCAGAGAATGCAGTTTGTAAGAAGGGGGTGGTTAAGTTTCACAACTCAAGTTAAAGGTTCGGTGATCACAGAAGTGTAGTAGCATTACATTGCTTTGTAAGAAAGATGATTCTCGAAGTATGTATTGCAAACATAGATCCGTTTGTTCTATTTTGCCATATTAATATATAACTAAATGCATACATAGCAGTAAGTAAAATATGTAAAATTGTGTAATTACCGTATTTACCCAATTGTAAGTCGACCTTTTTTCCTTTTTTTGTCGTTCAAAAATTTAGAATCAGTGTCATCGTGTTGCTATATTATAGTTGACAACAAATATCTGCTAAGATCTTATTTTTTGTCAGCCATGCACCCGACACTGTAGAACGTACTAAACTACCTCCATTTGTTGTGTTCAAATGCTAGACACTCCCAAAATCAAAGTCAAATCCTAAGAGAGTTATTGTACCCGCAAAGAAAAAACGATGGTTTACCAAGGACATGATATTACAATGGATTCAGTTGGTGTGACATTGTCGCCCAGGCGCTCTGTTCAAGTTGCATAACCACCTCAAAATCTAAACCCCTGGATGTGTGCAACAACAAAACATTCAAGAACAGGTTGAAGAAAATGTACTCAGACTGGCTGTCCCAAGGTTGTCCAAAGAAGACAGAATGCTCACCAATGCTCAAGCCCATGGGGCGCATGAAACAGGCTAGTCTATCGCAAGTGTGCGCTTGGATAGATGATGCCTAGAAAAGTATTTATAGAGAAGATGTCGCAAGGGTTTTTAAAAAGTGTTCCATCTCAAATGCTCTTTACAGCAGCAATGATGGCTTCCTTTTCATGGACAAAAGAGACATGGAAAAAGATTTTTTTTTTTTTTCTTTTCCCATTATTTTGTTCATTATTTCTTGGGGTCAGCTTACTACAGGTGTTGGCTAATAATCGAGTAAGTGCGGTAAATCAAAGTATGTAAAATAAAAGTGGTTCTATTTCATCCAGAATGTCTTGTAAACTACAAAATATTATTGACTGCAAGTTTCTTGTTCCTCTAAAATTACGTACTTAGATGAAAATTCATTCCCTACTGATTATAACTAAAGTGACATTAAATGAACATTCTTGCGTAATTTTGTGCATAGTTTGTTAACAATATTCACAGAACTAGAATCAAAAATTCTTAATGTTAATATATCTCAAAAGTCTTATCAAAACATGCAAAACAGAACTGCCAAAAAAACACAAGAAAAGAATTGTCAACTCTCAGAAAGTTAGTTATTAGAAGAAAAAAAATAAGCAATATCAAACAAATGAGCAAGAACTAAAAAATTGAATCATTAATGCTTTCACTTCAGAATTGTTTCAGTTTGTCTCAATCTGTTGAGTACAATAATTCTCAAGTTGTGTGACAGTATATAATAATATCTTTCAAATTATGACCAATAAGAGCAGATAATATAAGTGTTCATTTGATTGATTCGCTTCCAGGCATGACAACTGCTACGGTCATTAGACCTCTAGGGTGCATGTTTATCCTTCGGAGAGATTTCCCCCCCATTGAGGTCTGGCACCAATCCATGTATCTGCAAGCAGGATTTTCGCCAGGACAAGTTCTAAACTCCTAACTGATCTCCCAACATGTGTGGTAGTGTATGTAAATGTAAGTGTGTAAACGTAAGGGGTGAGGATAGGACAAGGTAGAAGAAGGAAACATCACGTGCCATTGTGCATTTGTTAGGGTACTGCTTCAACATTCACCTGGAGTTGACCAACTGAACTCAACCTAGCTAGTGTCGAAAATCCTGCCACTATTGGGACTCGAACCTAGGACCCCACCAGTCTGAGGCACATCAAGGACATCAAATGATGCCTTGATGCACCTATGTCTGTAAAAGTGATCATTCATATCATTTCCTAATTAGTGCTCTGGATGAAATACACCATGCAAGTTAGAGAATAAAAGATAATGAAAATATAAGATAATGAAGTATTCTGTATTGTGACCACAGCCACAGAATGGACCGTGAAATAAATTGGACTTACTGAGGCTTCGGTCCACAAGGGTTCAGAAAAATAAAACTGACGGATTATTGCAGGAATACAAGTGTAGGCAAGAAAGTTCATTAAGTAAAAACAAAACCCATGTTTGATTACGACAAACTTACGTTGAGGTTAATTCAGCACTGTACTCCATTCTAAATGGAATACGACACTGAGACGTAGAGAAAGCTAATACTTGGAATGGGTGTGGGCAGTTAATATCTTCAAATAAGAACAAGTTGCCATATGGTCTGGTCTGCATTTGAGATAAGTCTCCACTGAGATCTTTGTAGCATCTCTGGAAAGCTTTATCCACATTGGAAATAGCATTCTTCAATTTGCGACGATTTGATTGTGCTTTTTTTATTAACCTCCAATCATCTTCACTGGAGTTTTCCTCACAACCATTCTTTTCAGTTGCATTATTCTCCTGCCGATCTGTTCCTTCCTTGATTGAGGATTCTGCTGCCCGAACAAAGGCACGTTTCTTGAGAAATTGAGATGCAGAAGAGGTACTTTTAATATTGGTATCTCCCACAGCCCTTGTTTTTGTTGAAGTTGTTTTTCGAGGTAACTGCTTTGTCTCTGAACACTGTGGAGTTGCAGTAGTTGAGGAATACGTTTTTTGCAGAAGCTGAACATTTTCTACACCTTCCAAGGTCTCTGAAGTTGATGAAACCGCAGTCTCAGGCAACTGGATATTTCCAGGACACTTTGAGATATCAGAAGTACTAGAAATATTTTTCTGAGGCAACTCGATTCTGTCTGTACCCTTAGAAATTTTGGGAGGAGAATCCGATGGGTCAGCTGCATCTCCCAAAGGACGTTTCAGTCCTGCAAGACAAAGAAAAATCAGTTATTTATGTTATATATTATTAATATTAGTTAAATTTATACACACATAGAGAGAGATTCACATAAGGTGGGTGTAAGATAACTGAGTATTAAAAATCTGGATTGATTGGAAGTTTGTGGTTACCAGGGAGGCATGGTTCCTTCAGTTTATTTAACCTCTCGTGGTTTCATCAGACGTTCATGATAGTGTGTTTTCTTTTAATTTTTACTTTCCCATATATGTATGTATGTTTGGAGTATTAGTACATAGTACAGGGAAAGTTATGTAATATTGCTTAAAATCAATTTTGACATTTCAACGAAAACGCAGGTTTTGGAATCCCCTGATACTGAAAACACTTTTTTTTTTTCTTTTTTTCCTTTTGTGCGTTTTTTTTAAATTTTATTTTATTTTATACTTTATATATTTTATTTTATATTTAATATTATTTTATTATATTTTTCTTTCTTCCAACACGTCTGCCCATCCATCAGTCCGTGAACACCACTAGCGCCTACACCATACGTAGGATGTTTTCCAAATTGAAGAAACCCCTGTAAATCTAGTACAAATCGTAGCTTTGAGATTTTGAAAAACATTCTTTAAAATATGGGGGTACTTTATGTGAAGATCCCCAGGACATTTTCAAAATTTTCTTAAAAATGGCTCCAAATTTTTTCTTTAAATTTCTTGTAAGAATAGAGAAAAAAAATATTATAAAGGTGGTGTAGATCCAATTTTCAGGTTTAAATCTCAATATTCAAAAAATTTAAAATTTTTCGGGCATCTTCCTACAACAGCAAAATTGAAGATAAGAGATTTTTCTTTCATATAAATTTTTTTCTCCATAGAGAGTGCTTTCATTAAGGTCATGTACATTTTTTTGAAAATTTTAGTCGTTTTTGTGCAATATTACAATTTAAAAAAATTACAAAAACAATATTTACCCAAAATTGGCTCCAAATTTTGTTTCAAACATTTTGACAGATACTGCTAATTAGACTTTTTAATGTGATCTAAAGTGCATCTCAGGGTATTGTTTTTTCAAAGATTACACAAAAGTTGTTTTTTTTTTTTAAGATCTCTCATGCTGTTCATATACACATTTCCAGCTTTTTCTTAAGAACAGCTGCAAATTATTCAAAGAAAATTGCAATTTAGGGCGAGGTTTTACTGATCTATTTATAAAATAATATTTCCATTCTATTATTAATAACCTTTTTAAAAAAAGAAGAAAATTTCAAAATCATGTTCTTAGGGCGGCAATAGATGGCAACTGGCAAGAGTATGTGGCAAGTTCATATAGCTATCCGAGATCAAAGAAAATAGAAAACTAGTAAGGGAAAGTCTGTGCCATTACTAGTTTCCACTAGTAATGCCATCACTAGTTTCCCTTTACTTCATCTGTTTGCACACACCACACAAGATACCCATGATTAACACTTCACTTTACTTCATAAGTTTAGCTCACAAGGCACACTATACACACACGGCACACTGTGACACCATCTTCGATACAATGTCCTCTCCTCTGCAACTCCAACCAGGCTACTCTTTGTAACTTGGTAACTTGATATTAACTGGTGGGTAATGAAAACATAGGTTCAGCACATGAATGGTAGTGTATCCGAAAGAACTGTTACTGATTGCATGAGTTTTTGTAGAGAAGTATGAGTGAAAGTCATTGAGGCTGAAATACATGAAGATAAATTTGGAAAGAGAAAGTATAATAGGGGCAAAAGGATGGAAGGGTGGAAGGGGGTTTGGGAACACTGAGGGAGGTTTCTCTCTGTCTTTTTTCATGACCGCTGAATGTAACAGGGATCATTGAATGTCTTCCAGGATTCTGAAGTTCATCCTATCTAAGGGAAGAAAACCCTACATAAACTTACCCTGTCCTCCTGGAAGGGGGTTGAGATATGGGGCCAGCACCCCTATACTTGGAAAATATAAAAAGCTGCTCAAACTCTCAATGGAAATGAGCCTTGGATTGACTCACGGTGTCGACAAAAGCAAGGAAAATGGTGTATGAATTTTGGAATGTTCAAGGTTTAAGCACTATAGTAAATGCAATTTTTAACGCAATGGAGGAGTTAAACATGGATATCATAGTGTTGAGTGAAATAAAAAAGAAGGGAAATGGAAATGAATGGACAGGAAATTATGTTCACTTTTCTAGTGAAGTGGGAGTAGCTGTACATAAAAGATTGGAGAAAAATATTCAGCTAGGAAGCAACTGATGAGAGAATAGCATGTTTCGATCTTGTACTAAGAGGATGCAATGTTTTCATTATAGGAATTTATGTTTCAACAGACTGTGTAAGTGTTACAGAAAAAGATATGTTTATAGAGAAACCGACTATGCTGCTGGATTCGAAAGGAAATCGCAAAGAAGTGGTTGAGTTGGAAAACGAATAGCACATAATGTTGTGGGACGATAATGGTGAAAATGTGATAAATGACAATGAAGAAAGACTAAAGACAAGTGAACTATATGATCTTAAAATATTGAATGGCTAATTACACATTAAGAAATACATTAATTCATGTGGATCCAGCCCACTAGAAAACTGCAATCAATAACTGACTACATTATTACTAAAAAACAGTCATCAATAAAGAGGAGTGATTTTCGGGTTCATTGAGGTGCTTCCTGTGGATCAGATCACTACTTACTAAAAGAAAAAGCTTACCTTGTGTATAAACCTTATTTCAAAAGTTATGGAAACAAAACCAAATACAAAAGGTGGAAAAATAGAGAGTCAGATGTGGCCGAGATAAAATATTGAAAGCCTTTAAGATGATTCCATTGCACTTTTCAACAAATTGCGTATGGCAGAAAAATTGAAGTACATCCCAATAGGAAATACTGAAGACAAATACCAATTTTTAGAAAAATGTACTTCTGAAGCAGCTAAAGAAGCTTTGAGAGAGAAGGGAAAATGTGAATAAAAACAAAAAGACTTGTGGTGGACAGAAGATGGGTGGAAAGAACCCAGTTGAAGAAAAGAAGAAAGTTATATTTGAGATGGCTTTCAACAAAGGATTTAGAAGACAGAAGTGAATATAACACAATGAAATATTTAGTCAAGAAAGAAGGCAAAACATTTATTTTGGGAACAAAAAAATGACAGATAAGACAAGTGCATTGGTAACACCAAATCCAGATAGGCATGGAAAATTTTACATTCCACGAAAATGAATACAACTCAAGAATGGCATTTAGTAGACCCAATTGGTATTGAAAATATTTTGACAGAAAATAAAACTAAATTTCAGGGAATCAATTATGAACCACTGCATGTAAATTCGATCGCACCAGATGGGACTTCAAAAGAGGTAAAAAAAAGTGTTAATAAAAGTGAAAAATAATGCTGCACATGGGCCTGGAGATACATCCATATAGCTGGCTAAACATTATCCTATTGTAGGTGAGGAATTAATTACTGAAATATTCAATGGCATTTTAAAAGGAGGTCAAATCCCAGAAATATGCAAATTAGCCTATATAAATTCAATTTACAAAAAAGGCTGTAGTAATTATAGTAATATAATTGTGACTTCATCTTTATTTAGACTGTATGGATGTGTGCTAAAGACTAGAATTGAGAATTCACATGCAAACATCAGACTCAGAAGAGCAAAGTGATATTAGAACCCGGAAGATCCTGTATGGACAATATTTTCTGTCTCAAACAACTGATGGTGTCTAAATACGTTGGTTATATAATTGCAATGGCGATAAAATACGTTTTCTAGCATGAAAACTACAAATAATCAGTTCATTGATTCATATCATTATTAATTTGCATTGTTGAATAAAAGGACAAGTGGCCACCAAAAATTTCCGATTTACAAAAATCTGTTGTAGCCCCTGTAAAATTTATCTTTATTTGTTAGAAACATGTATATACAACTTTTGTTAGAAAAGAAAACAATAATATAATAAATCTCAACATAGTGCACTAGTATTGTTAACCAGCTTCCTCAATCTTTCACTGACACAAGTGATAATTTTCTGTAAGCAATTAATTAGGATGCTGGCTATTTGTGAGGTCGACCTCTCCCAACGCCAAAGTCTAGTAAATTTGTGGTTCAAGCATTCGCGAATAACAACCTAACCGAACCCTATTCGACAATCTACAATGGCCACTCATCTACTCGTTTTTACATTTAACACAATTTAAGGATGCAATTTAAAATTAAATAACAAATATAATATAAATATAATAAATAATAATACAATATGACATAATATACAAATTCTAACTTACATAGCATCCAAAGGTGTAAGTTGGAAGCGGGCGACTGACGGCTAGCAATCTATATTTCATACATATTTCAAACAGGTTTTTAATAATTTCTAAAAGTTTAATTTGTAAGCTTATAACAAAAGTTCCCATAACGAACAACGAAATATGAAATAATATTCATATGCTAATTTATGTAGCATCCAACTGCCTCAAAACACCTCCAAAATTACGATCATGAAGCGGCGAATGTTCCGAGAGGACGACTAACTTCGACACCCAATTATTCCAAAATTACTGATTTTCGAAAAATTCAACATGACCTTATTTGAAAACCTGTTTTTGATATACACAATTCATTAAGAAAAAAAATGTACCTTCATATTTGTAGCTGTCGGAAGACTCCCAAAAAAGTTTAAATTTTTTCAATTGTCGAAAAATCAGGTTTTTCAACCAACATGAAACCTGTTCCATGTTTAAACATACTTCAGACTATCCACCAACAAAATTTAATCAAACACGATGGAGACTTTTTGAGAAAAAACAAAAATTAAAAATAGCCAATATTTCACGCAAAATTACGCGAAAAATACACCAATTTTCGAAAAAAATGTACATGGTCTTATTTCACATTCTATCTTTTTGGAACAGATTTTATTACGGGAAAAATCTCTTACGTATTTTTAGATGTAGGAAGACTTTGAAAAAATGTGAATTTTTTCAATAGTCGAAATATCAGTTTTCAACTAACACAAGACCAGATACGTACACACAATTAATCATATTTAAAATTTAATCAAAATCGATGGCACCATTTTCTTGAAAATTTTGAAAGTGTTCCAGAGGCTACATGCTAAATGTCCCCCAAAATTAAAATATTGGTTTTAAATACAAGGGGCCGCGACATCAGCCAGCTCGATCACTTGATAATATTCGATATGTGGAGAGATTGCGACCGTTGAGCCATAAACGGATTGAGAACCGTTGTTCACAGTAATTTTCTCTCAATTCGATTTTGGTATCCTAAGAATACCATAACGGATTCTGAATACTACGTTTTAAATGAGGATTTTTTGTAACCAGGTCTTTGGTCCGCCAAAAATTCATCGGTTTTACGCGCCGCGTTACATTACTTTCTCTTCTCAAGAAGCTCTTTCTTAAGCGCGAGAAAGAAAAATTATCTATATCTAATTGCTGTAGGAAGACTCCAATAATGTTTTTAAATTTTTGCAATTTTCAAAAATTGATAAAGTTCGTTATTAAATTATTAACAAGGCAATATTACTGACAGTACAGGACCAGATTAAGCTTGACATAGTCCCCAGGCACAATTACTTTGTATCCTCTGAAAAAATATAGAACTGTATTAAACTGTAATAATTAGAATTTTTTAATTAAAAAGCAAATTTAGTGGAATACACATAACAAACTTCATTCAAAATTTACAGCATCTTATGTGACAGAGTTCTCCTTTTTTTTTCCCCACACTCTTTTTCAAACCTATGTTTAAATTGGGATATAAAAACATTGTAATTTTGAAAAACATTATAAATTTTGCATATATGGGATTTCTTTATTTGCCTGAATTTCTTTTATAGTCCTGAAATAAACTTACAATTATAATAGAAGTCCTCTCGTAGGTCTCTCAATTCGTAGGCCCTAGGCACTGGGCCTAACATGCCTACTTGTTAATCCGGCATGTGACAGTAGGTTCCATTTTGTTGGGTTTTTTGTTGATAGCTAAATATTATAAAAATAATAATTTTCTGAACCTTTCCTTGTTGTTAATAACTATGATAGGTTTCCTCATGTTTCAATCGGCTAGAATGTAATACTATATTTCCACAACAGTACAGTACCAGCATTACAATTTCATCAACAGTGGACAAAGATTTTTTTCTTCGTACCGTTGAAACCTTTTATCAGCTTTAATATATAATAGTTATTTCAAATTCCCCAAGTTGAGACATTTTATTCCTCTAAACTGGAAATACCTTGTACAACTTCAATAACATTATTTTCAGATATTCTTATTATACATTTTTAACAATCAAATAAATTGCTACTGATATTCCTCCCTGAAAATTTTTGTTGGTTTTTTTCCCCCCCTCCAGATGATTTCCTGGGTTGAAACATTTCCTGTCTATTTCAGGTCTCTCAGAGTCCCTGCTTTTGCTAAAGTAGAAGACCTCAAACTAACAGTCAATGAGCTTTCAGCTGTCTTCTCAAAGAACCAAGTTATTCCAATACATTAATGAATCAAAAATATTTCACAAAATAATGTGCATATTTCAGTTACCTTTTGCTACTTGCATTATTTTTCATGTGAAGTTATTACACTTATTTTTTTAACGGAACTCTTCAATAAAACTTGGTGCTTTGTTCACAGACATGGTAGTACCGCGTTTTCAATGCTTTTATCTCCCTCACTATCAGTCTTTTGTTCACTCACTCAGCACCCTTTCACACACACAAGCACATGCATGCACACACAAAACAAACCCAAAACACCAAACAAAAAACAAATGCTTAGCAAGAAATCACAAGGTTAGTAGCTCATTGACCACTGGTTGGGGGACCCCTGAACTAAAGCATAACTCACATTTTGAGGTACCTTTAACTTTGGCTCCAGCAGCATCTGAAGCTTTGACAAAAGTCCTCTGCAGTTTTGTTTTCTGTTTCTCACGGTATCCATCAGCAACACCCTGAGATAATTGGCCAACCAGCTGCATGGTTTCTGCTGGGTAGCTGTAAAACAGTGCCAAAATACATAAACATACATTTATTAAACATAATATTTGTTTTATAAATTTACATATTATAGTTTCATTTCATGAAGAATAATACTGAGAAACTGTGTTTTCATTTAAAAAAAAAAAAAAAAGGAAGAAAAAGAAATACAATTTTTCACATTTTTTCAGTATGTTTCTCCTTGTTTCAGTAGTAGGTTTTATATTTCGTAGAACCCAACTTCATGAGAGATCTTTTGAAATATTTGTGCTTCCAAATTTACATGAAATATTAATATTAATTGACTGACATTTCTAAAAAATTATATTTCTATAAATTTTCTTTCCGGTATAGTATATATGTATATACGGAGTGATATACAGGTGAGTATAGGTAAAGTTATAAAATGTTGAGGAAAATAGATTTCAAGATTTCAACGTTTACATGAAATACACGTTTTGGGGGTCCCCTGATACCAAAAAAGTTTTGTTTCTTTCAAACGTCTGGCCAGTGTATGTGAACTCTGAGATTTTATAAATCATTGGCGGTATTTTATATAAAGCCCCTGAGACATTTTCAAAGTTTTCTCAAAAATGGTTCCAAATTTTTTCTTTAAATTTCTTGTAAGAATGGAAAAAATACACTTATAACAGTAGTGTAGGACCGATTTTCAGGCTTAGCTTTGAATTATTGGAAATTTCAAAATTTTTACAATCACAAAAACAAAAGATTTTTCCTTTAAATAAAATTTGTTTTCAATAGTGACTTCTCTCATTAAGGTTTCAATTTTAGTAGTTTAGCGCAAAATTTCATTCAATTTTAAGAAAATACAAAACCCAGTTTCTTAAAAGAGACACCAAAGTTTTTCTTTTAATTTTTGGTAGGGATAGGGCAAAATGCACTTGATAAGATGACACAAATGTCATATTGCTCTATTCTTTTGTTTTTTCAAAAATTACAAAAATGTAATATTTAGCAGTTCTTCACATTCTGTATTTATAAGAACATGTGCTTTCAACATTTAGGTTTAGACGTTAGTGTTGTTCTCATACACAGACAGACGGGCCAACAGATGTTTTGGGAAAAGAAAAGAAAAACACTTTTCAGTATCAGGGAGACATCAAATTGTATAATTTACTGCATTTGAAAATACGAATTTTTCAAATGATTTTTTATGAAGTTTTGTCCTATGAAATATGAAAAATATTACTGAAACAATGAGAAACACGAATGAAAAAATGTGTTTTTTTGGTTAAACACAATTCCTCAGTGCTGCACTTCATGTAATAAAACTAAACCTTTGTGTTTATTGCGACATTCTGTAAATACTTTTGCAAAATTTTCTATAAAAAGGCCTTTAAAAAAGTCAAAAATACTGTCTCCAATAATCATATGGTTTTGCATTGCATTAGGTGAAAAAATAACATCACAAAGAACATTCGTAAAAACTAATACAGTACACATCCTAAAATATTTATTGCGATTATTATCACACTTTTTAATCATATGCTTTTCACATACACAAATGCAAATGTGGAGTTGGGTATCTTTCTATTAAACACTAAGCTTGGAATAATATATCAGGAAGCCAGCAAAAAAAAAAAACACATATGATAAGCTCAAAGCTAAAACTTTATGAGAAGTTAGCCATTGTTATGAATTTCATGGAAACTCAAGTATGGCATTCTGTAGGTGTCAGCGTTGCACTATACAATTTTTGATTTTGGGAATAATTTATTTTTTTTAAAAATTGAACTTCTAAATTCCAATTTTCAGCATTTCTTTGCTAAATAGTCTTTTGTGCGATACATGACAGGTTAGCAAGACACAATTTTCCATTTGTGCTTTTGCACTGCTTTTGAAAATAGTCCTGTTAGAAGTTTTCTTGTATTTGTGACCTTGTGTTTTAGTGCATCATGCATATGATAACATTGTGAATAATGCACTAAATAATTGTCAAACTTATTTAATGTGGAAATTTGTCCAATGTGAACATCAACCATGACCCTAGCAATGTTAATTCTATAATATTTCTTTGTTTAATACAAAATCTTGCATAATTCAGAAAAAAATATTGGACCATAGAGATTTCATGTTGGGCAAGTTTTACTGCATATTACATTAAAAGATTTAATTACAAAGAATTAATACAGAAGAAAATCTTCACTTTCACTAATGTAGTTGCATGAGGGGATCCACAACTTTGAAATTTTCAAAAATGAATACAATTTTAAGAAAATCAAACCCGTGCCATATTTATTAGCGTATTTCATTCTATTCTGGTGAAAAAATCAAAAATTAAAAAAAATTGGCATCATTGTAGAGGAAGTTTTGCTAAGGTCTCCCGGACTTCATGTGAAGTAGACCTAAAAATTAAAAGATTCATTTCAAATTCATAGAGCCTCAAGTTGGGCTAGATCAATTGGGGAATATTAATTTTGGGTAAACTCTGCATATGGTTTAGGGACTAGTGTTGTTAACTGATGGACAAACTGGCAGAAGTTTCAAAAAACCACTTTTACAGTGTGTGAGGACCCCAAAACATGAATTGCATTAATCTCGACAACAGTTATTCACGTCACTACATAAATTTCTCTTTACTATGTATACAAACTGCATACAAGAAAGTAAAAAATAATGAAGTAAACAGGTTACTTTAACTCTATAAAATTACTCAGCATAAAATTATCGAACCACCAGTGTTATAATCTGACTGCTTTACAATCACATAAAATTTTCATTTCCATAAAGCCCCACCTGTAGTGAAGCAAGCCTATCTTTAATATTAATATTACATTCCAGACAAAATTTTGGAACAATTAATCTGCTTTAACACTGGGCTACATGCTACAATCTTTTCAGTTAGTATGATATGTATAAGATACATCTGAAATTGTATCTGCTAAGCTACTTTTCAAACTCACTCTAATTCTGAACTGTGAGTGCTATTATATTTTAACAAACAAATAATATACAAAAATAGCTTGCTACAATTTATTATTACATATCATCACAGAGGCTTGCATACAATTTCTGATAGCAAAATTTACGACTAGTGTTCAGATTACAATTGTCTCTATCTCAACCTAATTATTGTATAAATTATAATTGTTTGACACCTTTTAAAGTTGCAGTCACTCAATTTCATAAATATCAACTTTTTTTTTTTTATTTTAGACATCATGTTTAATAAGCAGGGCTCGGATTCTGATAAAATGACCTCTCCTATAAAATGACTTAATATGAGAAGAAAATGACCTGTTTTTTTCTATATACAAATAAATGTGTATGAAAACACTTATTCAATGATTTGACTATTTTAAACAAAATTATTTCATTTATATAACATTATATTAAATATACAGGCTTCGTTTTCAGAGGAAATATAATCCATGGCTCTGATTTTCCAACCATCAGTTTTGAAAGGTCAAAAACATTACTGAATATCTGCGTAATTATGAGAGTTCGTAAAACAAGAGTTGACTACAGTAGTTAATTCCATCATGAGCTGATGATACAATAAAATATTTATTTTAGGGTGTAATTGCAACTTCAAGAATCATTCACTAAGAAACAACACAAAAATGAATAAAAATGACCCGAAGACCTCAAAACAATTACCTAAAAACTGAAAAATGGCAAAAAATGACCCAATAACTACACATTTTTCATGTTCACCTATATGTCGTAATAAACATTCATTTACAAGTTAGCTACATCTAGAATGAACCAATGAAAAGATAATGTCATTAAAATTCGAGCCCTGTTAATAAGAGTCTTGAAAATTATTTAAACTTTGTCCAGCAGTCTTTTAGAAAAGGTAATTTTCTTTCTTCTTTTTTTGCCTTTCTAGGAAACAATTTTTCAATGCTGAAGGATAGCATCGAAACTACAGTTATAACTAACAGGAATTGAAAATACAAGCACACAATAAGTAAATTGTGATACAAATTTCATAAGTATGATTTTTGAGAAAGTAAGGTTTTACATAGGGAAAACAATGTAATTAAATATTATTGTTATAAACAAAGATCAATTTCTACAATTAACTATACTAAACATCAATAGTTACTCACCGACACCCCATAAATTCAATATTGGTGAAAACTTGAGCAAGACAAACCAGGCGTTCCTCTGGAAATTTATTTTTATGAGTCTCCATGAAGCAGCGTCGCAGTTGCCAATGTTCTTCGCTCTCATACTCAGTTTTATATTTATCGATGTCCCACTCAGTATTGAAACTCATAACGAATGCTTATTACGACGGGCAAAGGCTGCAAGATGTAAACAAAACATTTAGGTTATGAATCAACGAATGCTTTACATTAAAGATACGGATAACTAAAACCAGTAGTGTGAGGTAAAGTATTACATAATTCTTGCAAATTAAATTTTCTGGGTAAAAAACGTAAAACTAAGGTAATACAATCGATTAAACCTACAACAATTTTAAGAAAAAAACAGTATCACATCAACCAGTCCCTGATCGGAACATTCATAAGCCATAAAAACTCATTGAACACAAATGGAAATTGTAAAATGCTATCGTGGGTCTAAAGAATTAAATACCTTACAAAAACTGTTACAGATTTCGCGGAATGAAAATACGACACACAATAAATTCAATGACTTGTAAACGTACACAGCGTAGTAGCTGCGGCATGGAGGAATGAATTAGCCAAAGACCAAACAGAACATCTATCAAGATCCAAGTGTCAAATGAGGAGTCTATTGACAGCAGGATACCTTCTCCCAATTTAAACTGAGTGGTACAAGAACGTCAAATACTGCTAGGAGAGGGGAATATCATCCAATCGCAAATTCCAATACCAAATATTTTAGTCGTACCAATGCTGTCGATTGGGTGATATTCCTCCCCTTTCCTTCCAGCTTGTGAGCTTCACTTTCCAAGCACTTCAAATTTGGGTAGTGTCCGCGCTCGTTTTCTTGAGCCCTCGTTTTGCTAGATGCGGGAGGTCTGATTATTTTGTTCATTATATGAAATCTGTAACTCGTTTTTCGTGACAAAATAGTTTCTTCTATACGGGAGCGAATATTTCTAACACCAGATTTTGTTAATATCGCTTGTTCCTATCATTTATTCTGAACTCAACTACAGTTAGTAAAGGCATGGGGGCAGGTATCCGGTGCTCAAGAAAACGTGCGGGTATAATACCCGCTATTCCAATTTAAAGAGTGAATATAAAGATGAGAAGACGGAGAGGACAAGAAACAATGACATAAGTGACGAAGAAAACGATGACAGACGGAAGAGAGCACTGTACGGCACGGGAAGGAGGAGGACGAGAAGCGACAGACGGACCGCTGCAGCGGACGATACGGAGAGAGAGACAGCACCACTGAGGAGAAGACGAGGAGGAGAGACTCTCCGGAAGTTTTCAGACAATTTACTAAGACAAACAGCAGAGAAGAATAAAAGGAGGAGAAGAAAGCGACACAAAGCAAAGATGGAACGAAAAAAAAACGAAGACGAAAAGACACTTGATTGAATGACAAGAAAAACTTTGAGATTACGAAAAACATTCTTCAAAATCAATAAGAATAGATCAACATACACTTATAAGAGTGGCATATGTCCGATTTTCACGGTTAACTCTGAATTTTCGAAAATTTCAAAAATTCGAATTTTTTTGACGCCTTTCTACAACTACAAAATTAAAGATAGAGATTTTTCTTTCAAATAAATTTTTTTGTCCATAATTAGTTCTTTTATTGGGGTCGTGTACATTTTTTGAACAATTAGTAGTTTTCGCGAAATTTTGCGTGCAATGTTTGCAATTTTAAAAAACAAAAAAAAATATATTTTCAGAAACGGCCTCAAATTTTTTTTAACTTTTGGTAGAGATAGTACTAAATTCACTCCATAAGATGACATAAATGCCATATTGCTCTATTCATTTGTTTATTCAAAAAATACAAAAATGTAGTTTTTTGACTTGTCTCTCTTGTTTTTAATATTTACATTAGCAGATATTTCTTTACATTAATGCATTTATGAATACATATGCATTAAATAATGTCAGATAAAGTTTTCCGCAAACTCAACAGTTTTTCGTAAAAATGAGTGCAAAATTTCGCACTTTTCGAAACTCTCGAACGTCATTTTTTCAAATACGGCTCCAATTTTGTTCTTTAAACTTTTAAAACAAATAGTGCTGTTTAAGATTACATACAATTCATTTTGAGGTTTTTTACTCATTTCCACGATTTCTCTCTTTTTCTATTCTACACAAGTAGACAGAGATATGTGTTCTGAAATACTTCTGGCATGGAGTAAAATAGAAGTATTTTGGAATGCAAGATGGATGCATCTCGCCTTGTCCGTAGGCTCCCCAATAGAATTCAAATTATTTGAAGGTCGATTAATGTGTACAAATGGTAATTCAGCGCCATTGATATTGGGTCTAGGATCAGTTACACGTGTTTGGGAAACATTTCAATGTTGTTGTTTGTTGTTTATTTGTGTCATTTTCGTATTTTCAAGAATTTCCCCAATAATCCCCTATAACTCGACGAAATACCCTAAATTTTACTCGTTAACACGGTATACGAGCACTACCTTTTGGATCTTTTGTACAGTCATCGTCATGTTCATAACCGAACTTTTTTTTTTCGCGTGCGTGCATGTAGGTGGAGGGAAATCTGCATCTATATTGCACGAATAAGCAAGATTAAGTGCAGTTCTTAACATTTCATTAAAATTATTACACTCGTTTTAGATCCTCTGAGACTGATTCGAGAAATTAGGCCCCCCATCCACACACAGATACATATGTCATTCAGTGACAAATAAAGAAATATAAATTGTATCTGCCTTGCTACCAATAAATAGGGGAGTTCAGTGCTGAACAAAGAAAGGTAGAGGTTGTATTTTGCTGGGATTTACTCATTGTGTATTAATAAATGGAAAATTAGTATTAGTTCAAATGAATTGAGCCAAACAATATAGAATTGAGCTGTTTTATTTGTTTAGTGAAAACGAACAATGAAATATTGTTTCCCAAAGTTGTGAAAATCTGATATTCTTACCGTAAAACGGTGTCAATAAAAACAGCTCTATATCAAAAATCATTTCACCTATAAAGCTACAACTCCAAAAGAATTCCTTTGAGATATATGGGTCTCAGCATATAAAATTTCATCAAAATCTTAGATGGAATCGTGGGGTACTTTCCTAAAATTTGCTTGAAATGACCATTTTTATATCTCTAGAGTAACTTTTTACTTCACTTATTCAAATGGCACGAGATATAAAAAAATTGTAAGGACATTTCTGTGTCAAAATTATATTTCCCGCCATCTTTAAAGGCGTCTGAAGCTAAGCCGAATCAGATTTAAAGTCACCTTGCATTTACCATCATAATTAGAGCCCGGAAGTTCAGGCATTTATTTTTCCTAAAATAGACTGGCAAAGAGGCATTTACTTGTACTAAAATAGGCAAGAAAAAAGACATTTATTCTGGATCAAGTAGGGGGTAAAACACAGAACGCACTAAAAAATAACTATTTAAAAGTAGTTAGTGTAAAAAATGAATAATGAAATGTTTCACATTTTTATTTTAACTCTAAAATTTACATTAGCACTAACGTGGAAGGAAATCACATTTACTTTGTAATTTTATTCGCACTTGACCATCCGGTTGATGACTACGAATTTACTTTACTCGCGACCCTGCCTCTTCGAAATGTGCTTGTGAACTCTCTTTTTAATCATGAAATGGTAGCAGTGAAAACGGAATTGTAGAATTCGTTCTTCCTACTTGTGCAATTGCGAGAAGGGAAGAGAGAACATAAGGAACTGAGAAAGGTTTAATCATGAACAGGCAGCTCTATCCTCAAAAGGGATCCGAGACCATACACAAACATTGGATGAGATTTCTCGTGAGCGAAGAAGTTTACAAGCATCAATGAAAAATATTAAAAAAACTTCACTGTAATCATCTTCCTCTACCTTTTAGATTTCAACACAACCTGACCCTGGAGCCTCCCGCGTCCACGGAGAGACAATCACGACCGTGCCTTCAGGATAGCAGTCCAGGACAGCAGGTATGTTTCCAACTTGATAGAGGTTTGTGCCACGAGAGGAAAACGGGAAAATAGAGACGAAAAGGTGTATGAATGAACGTATGTAATAATGTAGTAAATGTAGCTTCACTATGCGCACGTTTTGTTGACCTCTCCTTTGGCTTGTAATGGTAGGAGCAGAGGAAAGGGCGAGTTACTATTTAGTTAGCAATGCAGAAAAATCAAATCTGCAGTTCGTTCACCGATGCATATAAGTTTTCTATAACTCGGAAACTAGGAGGGAGAGAAAGGAGGTATTTCTTGGGTGAGAAAAAGGCGATTTGAATTTAGCTCAGAGGCGTCATTTAGACTTGAGGATCTTTTACATGCAAGTAAATCTACGAACATGGGACAGCCGGCTTTACTTCCCCTCGCCCTTAAAAATCCACGGCTTCGATCGGGTTTGAACCCGCCAACTTGGGTACAACAGTCCAGTACGCTAACCGTTACACCATCGCCGCCGCACCATTAAACTTCGATTTTTAAAGTTTTTGTTCTCAAAATGTACATGTTTGTAATGTCAGTAATATCATTAACAGTCACCGGTCATTCTCGTAAATATAAAAGCATTTCTCGCCCTTTGTGGCAACAAGCTGTAAAATTCTTCCTACTTTTTCCTTTCTACTTCAAAAACACGTACCCCTTTTCTTCGTTTCTTAAACCGATATTAGCAATTTGATGGAAAATCGTAGATAAAGAAGCTAAAAACGCCGTGCTGCATGTGCTCAAGAAAGTACTACGAGTATTGGCATTTTCTATCACGGGGACGAATAGAAGCGGGCACGTGTTATTTATCGGATGAAGAAAATATCACCCAACTCTGACATTCAATTATGCCAATACGCTCTGGTGTGAACGGTGTGTGCGGATTCCGCCGCCGCATCTAGCGCGGAGCGTTCCGCGCCGCACACGCTGCGGATCTCCCGCGCCGGTCGGGGGAGCCTTAAAGAGGCCACGGCGGCCCTCGCAGCCGTGGGTGGCGTAAGGTCTCCAAAAAATCTAAGCTTTAGCCTCAAAGAGGTACAAACGTAGCTTTTAATTATCCTACACCACGGCGGAAGAGCGTCGAACGGCTCTTCCGGTTGCCGACAACTCTATACCATCAAAAGCGAGGAGACGAGAGAAGGAAACAGGAAATCGACGCAGGAGGAACAGAGGCGTAGAAAGACGGACGAGACGGAGCGAGAAGAGGAGCGATCGAAAGAATTAGGACCGACGCTGAAGAGATGCTCGCGGGCGTGTCCGACTCAGGACTAGGACTCAGCAATCGGCAAAACGCGATTTTTTGTTGTGAATCGCGTCCGTGCAAAGTTTATGGCGGAAAGTTAAAAGAACGCGATTCCGCCCCGCTGCTCTAAGATCATCTGCTGTGACTCATTGGTGAGAGATTGAATGGTCTGCGTTGGAAAATGGCCAGTGGGGTTTATGAGGCCATCTAAACGGTTAGCAGTCAATAGGTCTATAGGTGAATGTCCACTAGCACAATATTCACTCGCGGAAATGACACTTAGTATAAATGTCCACTTCATTATACGTTCAATGTATGACATGGCAATTTTATTGGTTTTTTAAAGTATTACATGTGAAAACCAATTATTTAATTTCTATTTTCTTCTACCCCAGGATCAGCATGCAGTTTCATATGCTATGAAAGAGCGCGTAGTGTTTGTCATTATTGTTGTCCTTGTAATC